TTAGTTAAACTTTGTATTGTTATACCCTACAACACTTTGTGTTGGGGGTGTTATAAGTTTGATCACTTTTAATCACTCTACAGGTCGCAATAATGGACCGATCTTCTCGAAACTTAGAATGGAGGTGGGGTTTGGGCCAGAATAGAATATTTAGGGGTTGAAAAGGACCAAATACTGAAAAATTTCCTGTTTTTGTAGTTGCTCTATAGGTAACAATTATAGACCAATCGGAAGTTAGCATGGGTCTAGAGCTTTGGGCTGGGGAAATCAAAAAATGGACAAAAAGGTCAATTCTGACCGTAACGTCGATGCCGATATTAAATATATAGCGAAATATGTACAATGTGTATACAAAAGGAGGGACGTTAGCTAAAATGCTTATATCTCAAGAATGGCTGGCGCGATTTTGACAAATTTTGTCAATTCAGAATGCCCTTTTATCATAAAAGAATAGTATATAAAAAAATTGCATAAAAAGATGCCAATAATAATGATGTTAATAAAGATTTTATTGTATTTTGTGACATTTTTTATTATTTCATATTTTTTATCGCATGCGATTTTTTAATTTTTTGAAGTACACATTTTGTAATATTTTTTCACCTTACAACACAGGTTGGGGTTTTTATATACATATTGTAATTATCGTTCGATCCTCACAAAAATGTTCACAAGGGTAAGGTTAGACTTAGAAGGGCAAGGCCTATTGTTTTCAAAGATGCCCACAATATATTAAGGGGTTGAAATGGACCAACAACCGTTACAAAGGTCACAAATAGAAACCAAAAGAACACGAAATCTCGCATGAAGTTTGAGTTTAGGACAGCGGGTTGAATGGACCACTACTTTTGTGTAAAAAATACCAACATTTCCATTCTACCGAAACGCTGAAAATAACTTACAGGCGATATACAAAATACATAAAAAGTCGAACTTCTGTCTTTTTATGCTGATTTCGTTGACGAATATAGCCAAATATCGTAAACAAGCAAATCATATAGATGAGTCTAAATTTAGAAATACCTCTTGCTTTTGGAGATGATCGAAAAATATTTAGGGGTTCAAATGAACCAAAAACAGAAAAAATTCGTGATCACACAATTGAAGCCAATCGACACGCGGGAGCAGAGAGTTAAGGACAGGGAAGAATTCTGGCATTTTGGATGATCATTATATTTAGCTGTAAAATAGACCACAACAACTAAGTGCGTAAATATTGGGCAAATGCCCCTAGTCAAAATGCTAAGGGTAATATCTGGGCAATGCTCTATGACATCATTTCAAAAGCAAAATTTTCCAAAATGGATTTGGACATAAGAAGTCTTCTAACATATTGTAGTGTTATAGGGTAATACATGGTCGACCCCGCACGACTATAGCCTTTGCTTACTTGTTTTCTTTTATGGTTGTACAAGAACCTAATCTTAAATTATCGTTGTTAGATAAAACTTTCGTATTTAAAGCTCCTACTGGCTACTACTTTCTGTGAGTGAAAATTGCCTATGTAGGTATTCGTGTAGCTCCCATATGAAGGTACCTTCCTATATTTGGAGCCGCTAACCACTTGCCAGTTTGGGTTGTTTCGGTTCAGTGGTTCACGCTTCCTTTTGAACCATGGTTCGTTTATTTTAAATGGTTTTTCAGGCGGCTCGAACCGTGGTTTTAGTTCGGTTCAGTATTATGTGTAAATACATACATATCCAGTTCCGCACAAAAACTGCTTCTTTGGTGGCTAGCCTCCAAGCAATTTTCAACATACATTTTTATAGTAAAAATATATTTAACTATACGATTTTAACTACATATCATAAGGAATTAAAACAAGTAAAAAAGCTGTAAATTCGGACGGGCCGAACTTTGAATACCCTCCACCATTTGGTACAAATTTAACAATTTTCAAAAAATAAAATCCGTTAAAAATTCTGTTAAAATCTTAAAAATACCGAATGTAGCCGTATATTAGGGTCTTTACGACGACGTGGACGTGCAATGTCAACTTTTGTCACAAGCTATTACACTATTCAAATACAAAACTTAAAAAAAAATCTGTTTATAATGTAGCAAAAATAATTAAAATACCGAATATAGGGAGGTACCATGGGGGTTATGAAACGTGGACCTGCACAGACAACTTTCTGTCATAGGCTGTAGTATACATTACGAACTTCAAATACAAAATTTGAAATAATTCCTGTAAATAATGTCGCTAAAATCATCAAAATACCGAATATCGGAAGGTACCGTGGACCTACATGACCCATTTTTTGTCTTTAGCCGTAAAATCTGTTACGAACTTTAAATACCAATTTTGAAACAATTCCGGTAAATAATATCGCTAAAATCAGCAAAATACCGTGTATCAGAAATTTCGTTAGGAAGCTAGAGTGATTTCCACAGACGGACGGACATTGATAAATCGACATAGAATGTTATGCTGAATGTATATTTCGAGGTGTTACAAGCGGAATGACAAACTTAATATACCCTCCATAATGGTGGAAGGTATAAAAATAATAATAAAGCTTTGTTTATGTGCCGACAAAAATTCCTAATTTTTGAGGCACAAATTGCTGGACCGAACAATTTTTATGTCTGTAACAGGGTTAAGGAAACGAGATGGATCCATAATTCCTTTTGATGATCCTTATAAAATCACATTCTTAATCGATTTATACATGTCATGTATTTTTTGTGAGCAAAATGCGGGTCGCATTTATTTTCTGATTGAGTCGAAATTGTCCCACATCATTTGTTTGAGACAATGGTTTACTTCACGGTACATTTTGATTAATTTGACATTATTCACCGGAATTGTTTCAAGTTTCGTATTTGAATACCGTATTGGTCTATGACAAAAAGTGCATATCCATGTCTTAGTAAATGCCCCAATATAACGGTAACTCCCTATATTTAGTACTTTTAGAATTTTAACAATATTTTTCAACGGATTTTTTTTTTTTTTTTTTTGAAAATTTGCAAATTCCTTCCATGTCGTGGAGGGTATAAAAGTTCGGTCGGACCGAACTATTTACAGAGATAAACATAGTTAACTCTTGTGTACCAGAAAGAATACTTCACTCTTTTCAAGTGCGAAGTGTAATAAAATTCGGACACTGCTTTTTGGCTTGTTAAACCTGTTGAAGGACTGAAATTCGGCGTGTATGAGATAAATAAAGTCGTGCAAAGTAAAGGCAAATCACACCTTACAAACTTCAGCTTTTTCTACAAGCCTTAGCTGTTGCTGCCTGAATCCACTTTGCGGAATATATACCTAGCTAAATATAGTCTCATATTCTTCCACGCATTTTTTACAATTATTGTTTGCAGTCGTACTGTATCGGTGGGCTAAAATTTGCCGAACTGTTTTTTTCACGACTTTAACAAAATAATGAAAAGTTACCAATAAAACCGATTGTTTTTCAAATCTCTCATCCTTTGTATTTGCACAATCCAACATTAAGTAAATTATACCTTTATGAAGATGTAACAATACATTACCTACTTGTCGCATATTTGCCCCCCTGCGGCAAATTACCCATAAACACGCACAATATGTACGAATACACAGAACAAAAAAGGCAACAAAAGAAGTTCAACATTAATTTTCTTGGGCCAAAGAGCAGTGTTTACACTGAAATATTGGAGTGAAGGAGGTGGGGGATGGTACAAATAATGAGTGTGTACGAGTGTATTGACATTGATGTAGACTAGCGTGCACATGACCAACGCAACATTAAATATTCGTAACTCGCTCGCAGCTGAAATGGCACAACTACACACATCTGGAGTAGTTGCTCTTTCCGCAATGAGCTCGGCTCGTCTTTTCTTTTAGCAGATTCTAGTCCTGGCACAATGATTGAGAGAATCTTAGCAGTGATGTCGAGGCGAGCGGCGAGATGAGTGTGTGAGTTCGTGTTTGTATACGATATTACAGCAAAAATATACAATTTAGTGTTGTGTTGGGAATGAGCGTAACGCATTTCATAATAGTTGACGACTAGGAGCACTGAAGCCAGTACGTTCTCCACGAACGAACGAACGCACGCACATACACACACACCTACAACAATAGACAGCAACATATGTCCACCAATGTCATAAATAGTAAGCGATAATTGAAATAATAACGGCATCCGGGAGGATTAAAGGATTCACAAAACAATTGCGAATCTCAGAATGGAGTGTTTGCGTGAGCTCGCTCTCTCATTTTTGTTTTTATTTTTGGTAGCTGCGTAAGAGAGTAAACAGAGAAAGGAGTGAGAAATTCAAAGGTCACAATTGTGCCTCTCCCGGAATACGAATTTAACCTTTTGGTTCTTAGAGCAGTTAGCGTATCGTCCATCGTACATTGTTAACCGCAGAGTTATATTGTGCTATGTTTCTCATACGATTTAATTATTCATTTCAGTTTCATACTTCAATTTGTTTATTCTGTTCAACATTTTATAAACCAGTATTAGATTGTTAGCTATGTAGGGGTATTTTCTTTAGACGACTTATTGTTGTTTCTATATTTGTTTATATACCCACACTTGTGACATTCGGCGGCTGAATTCCAGCTTCCTTTAGGCACTGCGCACTGCAGACCATTTGTGTGGTTATTTTTGCAAATGCAAAATGTAAGCAAACACCATGGCCGTGGAGCTGAATATGTGAGAGAGTGTAAACAGAGAAAACATTCAATCAGTCAGCCAGCAAACGCTCTTGGGGTGTTTCGAATTTCGAAAGTGAAACTGGTTTCCATCAGCATTTTCCCACATGTGTTTTCTTGTAACTCTCAATTTCACTCTCTATCTCTCATTTGTGCCGCTCTCATTCATGTGCGTAGCACAATGAACTCTCCCAAAAGGAAACTCTGGGCCTCTCAGTGGTGTGTGTGTCTCAGGTTGCTTACAGCCTCCACAAATGGGAGTCTTGTCAAGTGTCTTATTGCGTACGCCGTACGCCATTCACTTACATGTTGTGCATGTTTAGAGGGCGAGTGTTTGTTGTGTTGTTGTTGTTGGCGTTCTTGTCGTGCTCACAAAGAGAGCCAACCAACCATTCAAGTGTGGTGTTTAGCTGTTGCGCTGCAGTTATGAGTATGCCTATGCGGAAATTGCCGTTAGTTCGGTTTTAGCTCTGAATCGGTATTGACGGTTATTTCTACTGAGCCACGCGCGTTTTGTTTCGTTTTGCTTTCAACATCCAAGAAGTGGAAAAACAAAAACACCAAACATCACAAGTTCTACTATCGGAATATTTCGACTATCACACGTACGTCACCACCACCACGAACCAGCACATCCCAACCGATTTCCTCTCCTCGCCAGCTCCGGGGAATCGCAGGGAAAACAAGGCGAAAAGAATGAATGAAGAATAGAAAAAAGAAAAAGTGCAAAATAATAAATATCTCGTGAATTTGATGAAAATTTACTGTTACAGAGCATCATTCCGAGTGGAAATTTGTGTCGTTTTGTGGAGGAAATCGCTCCTCGAATTTTATAAAAGAAATGGTCCCCGCTGACCAAATAAAAATAAGATTATAATTTTTGTGATATTCTAGATTTGTGTGCTGCGTTCTTTTCGTCTACGTCTTCGTACTCGCAATCGTTCAATGAGAATATTTTCGTTAAAATCGTTGCGTATGGTCGCGTTATCCTGCGAAATTTTTTGGTGAAAAGAAAACAGTGCAAAACGAACGAACGAAGAAAGAGATAAAAATACATAACGGAGAAAAAAAAATAATTCGAAAACAAGTGGAAATAATGATAAATTTACAAACACAATGATAATTAGAGTGATGATAATTTAATAACAAAACAAGAACGGAATTTCTTAAATCTATCTAACAACCCGGTACGAACAACAAAAACAAGAACACAACAACAGTAACAACAAACAATAACAAATTAACTTGGCCAACAAAAGTGAGCTGATGATGCTGTTTCTAAGGGCCAAATTCTGGCACGTTTATGATTCTTAATTAGCTACTGGAATAGTTTCAGCTGATGTAAGCATTAAATCACAATAGAAGAAGCCAGTGCAAAGGAAGACAACCACGCACCCAGCCGAGGGTCGATTTCACACACAAACAACAAGAACCCGTCAAGAACAATCAACCTACGAGCCACCATTCATTCATCCATCCATCGAGTAGGGCCATATGCTTGCCGCATGCTGCTACCGCAATTTCTGTGAATAAATGAATGGATGCCGACCTCCCCCCACACTCAAACAAAGACACACGCACACATACATGCGAGTAAGGAGTTGTCGATGCTTACATTCTTTTTGATGGGTTTTGGATTTACCCGTTGCCAGGGATAGCAAGCCAGGCCAGCTTAGCATCATATTGAAATGCCTATAAAGAGGCGTTTTTTATGACCGTAAATAATAAAAATAACAACAGCTACTCCAGAAACAAACTCACACACACACACAGACAAACATACAAACCGGGACTGAGAAAAGTAACAAATAAACCGAAATACCAGAAACCAACAAAATTTTCATCTGTCGGTCGGTCGGTCGGACTTCCGGTCAATTGCCATAGAGAGCCTGTGTTGTGTTGTTGATGGTGTAAAAATATTTTTGTTAGCTGCCCTTTGGCTTCGTTGTGACTGACTGAATGAATGAATGAGTGCTGTGACTCAACCAAACAACCAACCAACGCCAAGTATCGTTCGAAAATTGTAATGCAAATCCTAAAAATAAAACAAAAAGGAATTCTTAATAAAATGTCAGAAATGCCAACAGCATCGACATTTCAATTTTAAATGTGGATATCCTTTCCTCTGGCCAACATAAACAACATCTCCATCAGGACTGACGACTGCGACAACACGCACCATTCAACCCAGCTACCCGCTCAAAAGGAATACCAGAACAAAGTTCGTTATTACCACCATTGCAGAGAAGGATTACAAATAACCGAAAACGGAATTGAAAACAAATTCTTTCGTTTTCGCCCGTTTTTATTTCTCTGCCCATCATCGGAGGGCGTGCGTGCGTGCGTGTGCCTGAGCGTCGCAAGCAGAATGATGGACTGCTGGTCATCATTGCAAGCCATTCTCAAATGTCGCTCTTAGCGTTCATACCAAAAAGCGTGCAACAAAAAACCAAAGCAACCAACCAATCAAACAAATTAATAAAAACCAAACGAAAAAACCAAAAGCCCCAGCTACTAACCAAAAGCTAAGCTTCTGTATGTCTTACTCTGCCAACTAAAGAACACTTCCTCTCACTGACTGTCTATCTCTAATTATTTAAATAATAACAATTACCCGTTGACAAGACTCAAGGAAACTCTCGAGCATTAAATTTCCACTAAACCTGCTGAGACTGCTAGCTGATGTTGTCAATATCAGCCACCATGGAGTCCCCAGATCCTGGGCAAATTTATCCATTTGCCTTATCTGCCACAAATAGAGCTGCAGATGCGGTTGCAGCTGATGCCCCAGCCCCCGGCAATGCATGTCAGCATTGTCATCGTTTCTATCAACATCAACCAGAATATCAGCACCGGCAACAACACTGCCACAGTCATCATAACAACAAACACCAGCCACAGCAGCTATCATCGTCCAAGCAACATCATTGCTCGCCTCGTCTTCGACAATATAATCGTCAGCATCAGCCTCAGCATCATCGTCAGCTGCAGCAACATTGGATTAAAAATCTTCATTTTGTCTGCTCCGGTAAGTGCAACATTGCCAACATTGCAGTGTATAATTTCAATTTTTCATTTGTATTCCCATTCTTGTTCTTCCCTCGACGAAAGCCTTTCATTGTCGTTCATCCTTTGCTTTCAGTTGGCGTCATCGCCCTGACTGCCTGCCAGCCCGGCTGCCAAAGCCGGCATACATTAAAATAATTATTTTTCTCATTTCTCTGAGCTCTGACTGACTGGCTGGCTGGCTGGCTCGCTGTTGTTGAGAGTTTGTCGACAATAATTCCCTGCATTCATTTTCTGTTTGGGGCAATCAACAGCAGCAGCAGCAACAACAACGTCAACAACTCTGTATGAGCTACAAAATTCACAAACAATACATGCAACATTGCTGGTACATATGCAAATTGCCGTAACAGCAGCGATGCCAGCGTGCATTGTGTGGAGCTCAACTAATATATTGTTGTTGTTTGTTGTTGTCGGAATTGTCATCATTCACATGCGGCAAACTGGCTGGTTAGCTGGCTAGCTAGCTATCTGTGCACCTGTTTTGTTTTTGTCTACGTTTTGTTGTTTTCAATTCAACTCTAAACGTTGCCTGCCCAACTCGTATTGTGGATTTCTTCATTCCCTTCGGTTGCCCGTACACTGTTCCGAGTCTTGTTGGCTTGGGCTCCAGATGATGTTAAAGGTCAGTGGACTTGAATTGCAAAGTTCAATTGTAACACCAATAACATTTGCCCCCCATTCGAGTGTCAGTTGTGGAATTAATTATTCATTGCCGCCAAATCGCTGTTGTTCGCTGTCAGCAACAATTGTGTACAGCATGTTTCAATCGTTGCCATTACACAATATGTTGCAGGTTAACGAAAGCGCGGTAATTGCATGCAACGCTTGTGAATCGAAGTCGCGTTAAGTGAGTTATATTATTGACACCGTAATGGGAAAAATTATTAAAAAAAAAAAAATGACAAAGTTTCAAATAATTACTGCTATTGGAGGGTTTTAAATGTTGAAATCAAGGGAAAATAATTTTGAGTGGTAGTCATGAAGAAGGAAAAAACTTTTCTCATTACTAGGTATAGGTACGTCTGCACCGTGGGTACAAAAGCTAATGTTTTGAGTTCGAGTCCCAGCGTCGGCAAACGAAGAAAATTATAACAAAACCAGTAAAGAAAGTCTTAAAGTCGGGCGGGGCCGACTTTATGATACCCTACACCACTTTGCATAGTTATCAGAGCTTCATGTAACAATTAAATGTTTTTATGGGATAATTAAATCATACAATCTATGAGTATAATTATAATTTAAAGTCCAAAGGACTAAATATGCCGAAGAATTTGTATCTTTTCAATTGGGGCTTGTATTGCCCATTTGGTTCACAATTAACTTGAAATCGGATAAAAATATATGTGGGCGCTATATCCAAATCTGAATCGATCTCGATTATATTTGCAAAGATAACTCTGAGCTATGGGGAAAAAATATAATAAAAAATACAAAAATATACAATGTATATAGGAGCTATAGCTATATCTGAACCGATCTTCACCAAATTTAACTAGTTTCTAGACTCAATTTGGTCGTAAGTACCAAATTCAATCCCATTTGGGCTAATATTACACTTTTGGTGCACAATAAAAGCAAATCGGACGACTTTATATATGTGTTATATATGGGAGCTATAGCTATATCTAAAGCGATTTCGACATGCATAAATCGACTCAGAATGTGTTCTATGCAGATCATCAAAAGGAACTATGTGTCAATCTCGTTTCCTTTTGCCTGTTTCAAACAAATGCACAAAGATATAATACCCTGACCACCCTGTGGTGAAGGGTAAAATCAAGTAATACCTTTTGTTCGCAAGAGTGATACTGGTAAAATACTGGCTAAAATAATTTCTCGTTCTTAAATGATGACACGCCCTAATAAAAATAAAATAGTGTGTTAGTAAGTTAATTTATAAGTAGTTATGATTGTCAAAAATTGGTTATGAAACCCATTATTTGGTAATGGAAGTTTTTGGTGGTCATTATTATTTTCCTTGGAATTTCTTTGGTTTCCAGACAATTCTTCTATGACAATACTTCTTAGAATATTGAAAAAATCAAAATAAATGTTTTTTTTTTATTTTTCAAAATTAACATTCTTATGATTCAAAGAGTCTGAAAAGAAAACTCAATTTTTCAATTTCAACGGGTTTGTTTAAAGTAACTGCGTCCGATATACTATTTTTAAAGCTAGGAATTGTTCACTCTGTAATTGTCGTTTATAAGAAAAATGTTAACAACAATATCAACTTTCATAGAAAAACGAGCCTCATCAAATGTATAGGCTTACCCTGGATGTTTCTTCGTACTAAATTCGTTTCAGGGAATATGAAGCCACACTCTCCACATCTCTTTGTTTTTCTGGCTGTCAAAGCAGTATCCGAATTGTACTAAAGAGCGAACATAGTAATATTACTTTTTAACTTAGTTCGATCTGGAAGATGGGCAATATCGATGGACTTCTTCTGGTACCGCCCCACAATATTGTCAAAAGATCGACTCCTTTCATAAAAAAGCCTGTGGAGTATCCAATTTGAATATTGTACAATGCAGCACAACATGGTTCCAAAATATTTGGATAGCATGTTTAAATTGCATATTTACGTGAAATGATACCTCGTTTCCTTCGATCTTTAAATATACAAAGTGTGATCCTGACACTAGATCTAGCCGGATATATGATTCACAAATAATCGACATTCTGAAATAATTAGTCTTATGTAAAGTAAAAGGAGCATAGATTTAAAACAATTTTTTCAATGCGTACTATTGTCATGGCACATGGGTAAGCTATGTAAATGGACATCTTAATGTAACTCCTGCCCAAATTGTCACAAGAAGAGTGATCTCTAATATGTCGTCAAATTGCCAAAAAAAAACTACTAATCTCGCTTCTCTCGCTGACCTGAGTCAATCGGTCCATGATTTTAGCGCTGGAAACCGGTTCTGAACCGAAACGGATTTGAACCGGGGCGGTTTTTATATAAATGAACCGAGAACCAAGCCACTGCATACAAAACTCTCAATTAAAAAAATGTTCGATTCGTTTAACAAAGTTGTGCCGTCAACATTGGGAATTTGTGTCAGAACGTAAACATGGTTTACTATTTTTATACCCTCCAACATTGTATGGAGGGTATATTAAGTTTGTCATTCCGTTTGTAAAATCTCGAAATATACATTTTAGACCCCACAAAGTATATATATTCTTGATTAGCATAAAATTCTATGTCGATTTAGCGATGTCCGTCAGTCTATCCGTCTGTGGAAATCACTCTAGCTTCCGAAAGCTATGAAGTAGGTTGATAAAATTTTACTCAAATGTATATTATATTTGAAGTTCGTATGGGATACTACAGCATATGACTTGTCCGTGGAGATCCACGCCTTCGTATAGCCCCCATGTAACGGTACCTCCCGATATTCGGTATTTTTATACCCTCCACCTTGGAAAGGAGGGTATATGAACTTTGTCATTCCGTTTGTAACATCCTTAAATATTCGTCTTAGACCCCATAAAGTATATATATTCATAATCAGCATAAAATTCTAAGTCGATTTAACGATGTCCGTCTGTCTGTCTGTCCGTCTGTCTGTCTGTTGAAATCACGATACAGCCCACATTATTTGACGTAGAGCTCCAAAATTTAGCAGAGCTATTTGCATTGTGTCTAGGATGGTTGGTATTGAAAATGAGATATATCGGTCCACGTTCTTGTATAGTCCCCATATAACGGTACCTCCCGATATTCGGTATTTTGATGATTTATGCCACGTTTTTTCACGGATTTGTCTTAAAATTGGTATTTGTAGGTCATAGCAGGTCCCTGAGCGTGTGGCAAAACATTGCATGTATGGGTCCAAAATTTGGTATAGCCTCCATATAACGGTACCTCCAGATATTCGGTAATTTGATGATTTTTGCAACATTTTTTCACGGATTTGTCTGAAAATCGGTATTTGTTGGTCATAATGGGTTCCAGCTCCGGTGGCGAAACATTGCATGTATGGGTCCATGATTTGGTATAGCCCTCATATAACTGTACCTCCCGATATTCGGTATTTTGATGGTTTTTGCCACATTTTGTCACTGATTTGCCTAAAAATTGGTATTTGTGGGTCATAATGGGTCCTAGTTCGTGTGGCGAAACATTGTAATTATAGGTCCACGTTTTGGTATAGCCCCCATATAACGGGACCTCCCGATATTCGGTAATTTGATGATTTTTGCCACATTTTTTTCACGGATTTGTCTGAAATTTGGTATTTGTTGGTCATAATTGGTTCCAGCTTCGGTGGCGAAACATTGCATGCATGGGTCCATTATTTGATATAGCCCCCATATAAAGGTACCTCCCGATATTCGGTATTTTGATGGTTTTTGCCACATTTTTTCACTGATTTGTCTAAAAATTGGTATTTGTGGGCCATAATGGGTCCTAGTTCGTGTGGCGAAACATTGTAATTATAGGTCCACGTTTTGGTGTAGCCCCCATATTACGGTACCTCCCCATAATCGGCATTTTAATGGTTTTTTCCACATTTCTTCTAATGTTTATTTTACCCTAAGGTGGAGGGTATTAAAAGTTTGGCCCGGCCGAACTTAATGTTTTTTTACTTGTTATGATTTTAGCGACATTATACACCGGAATTGTTTAAAATTTGGCATATGAAGTTCGTAATGGATACTACAGCCTAGGACTGATTTTAGCTACATTATTCACAGATTTTTTTTTCAAGTTTCGCCTATGCAGGCCCACTTCGATAAGATAATGGCTACATTCGGTAATTTTAAGATTTTAACAGAATTTTTAACGGATTTTTTTTTTTGAAAATTGCCGAATTCTTTCACAGTGTTGTTTATTAGTTCCTTATAGCAAACAGTTAAAATCACCAAAAGACCACCACCAAATTATCATTTCATCGCGAATACTTTTAATGCAAAAATTTACTCAAATACATGAAAAGGGCACTT